TTTCACTCTCGATACGTCATCGTCAACCGATATCGTTTTTGTTGTCGTTTCACGTCTCTGTCTTTGTTAATTTCGAATTTTTACACAAGAGTGAAAGATTTTGGTAAGTTCAGAAACACGAGAAGAAAGTGACGAACACATGTTCGGATCAGAATCGTTTCAGAGATAATTCCAATTTTCATTTCGTAACCTAACCTATTCTTCATTCGACTGGATGAAATGTAATATTTTTATGAGAAAAGTGTAGAAAGCTACGGTTCGAGGAGAAAAAGATAGAGACAGAATTGCGAATGAAAGCTATTCGTTGTATCGAGAGCGATGTGTCGCAACGACGATCGACGCTCATTCGTCGTCACCGTGCTCCCTGTGTCATCCGTATCATCCAATGGCGTGTGACACGTGTGACGTCAACGAATCAACGGGCGGAACCGTACGAATAGGCTACGCGTGATACAGTATGTAACAAAAGTTCCAGGAATATAGTAATTCATCATGGTGGAATGGGGCTAAAAAGAAAAGTACGTTGACATGTTGAGTGCTGCGTGGGTCATTGGTGAGCCACGTTAGATTTTCTCAAACTATTTGATAATTTAATGAAATGTTTCATAATATTACTTAACTGGTACATACTTAATTATCATTTATAGTGCAATCATGTCGTGGGTCATCGATGACCCACGTGACCCACGAAATTTTTTATAATAATCCTTTAATTGATACACAATTATCATATATGTTGCAATCATGTCGTGGGTCATCGATGACCCACGTTTTCAATTCGCTAGAAAAATAACACATAATGAATGCAATAACGTGGGTCATCGGAGAGCCACGCGGCTTGAATGGAATGTCACGTGACATTCGCGCGGCGTTCGATGTGTTAAGTAAAAAATCGAAGCAAGTTCTAATTGATTGCAAAATGCCTGATAAGTGAAAAGTCGTGGTTTTTTGCAACTTCTAAGTGCAATGTAACTCGTCGCCGTGGGATAATCGATTCTTCGAACGGTGTAATCGGGTCTATTAAGTTTTTCAGCGTCGTTCCTTTCGACGCGACGCTGCCAGAACAAAAGGGCGCGTAACAACGTACGAGCCTGTCGTTGTTGCATTCTCTCTCTCTCTCTGTCTCTCTCTTTCACTCTCTTTTTAGAGAGGGGAAAAAATGAGAAACGCGGCGAGCGGAAGATGCGGCCACGATAACGACGGTGGAAATTGAATTCTCTCACCAGTCATCCCGCTGCGAAAGTGCATACGCGTATAGCACACATATACACGCGCGGTGTATGCTGGGATGAGGGACTAGGAGGAAAGGGAGTCGAGGTTCCCTTTTGTCTCGAAACCAGAGCACAGGTAGGTGCGCGTACGGTACTGAGCCAAATGCGTGTGCTCGTTGGGGGAGTGTACTGGGAACCTTCGACCCATGCTGAAGATTGCTGAGGATTCTTAAATGCTTGGAAATTGGAATTTTTTGTCTCCTTCCTTTCTTCTCTTTTAACCATTGCTTTGCTAACAGTATATTTGTTTTTTCATTTATTTCGATCGATAGAAAAACATGGGGATTTGAAAATTTTGAAGTTTTCTTTGAAATTTTCTAATTCTCGCTTAAAATCATTTAGAATGTGTACAAATGTAAGTAGCTTTGAGAACTCACACTTCACAAATTTTATAAAATAAAAATTAACCTGCTTAAAAGTAAAAACGTAAGATTTTTCAATTTTTCCGTTTAAGTGCTTTGCGCCGGTAAGTGTAACAGCGCAATGAAAGGGACGATAGAATTTCGTCAAGCCGCCGTCGCTTCGTTGCGTAACCGCCGACAATCTTAGACGACTGACTACTTAACGCGGGCTAAGCGTAGCCATCCCGCTAGACAGCCTCGCACGATCCAGTTAGCGAAATTGGAATTGAAAGCGTGACTGTTCGACATTGCGATAATTTATCACTCGAATAAATGCTCGCCGGTAGTGTTCCGCCGTGTACAAGTATCAATTTACATGACGCAACGGATATGTAATCTGATATATCGGTGTAACGGCGCGCGCAGAATCGCGAACGCCGCTTCTCATCGAGGGTAACGCAGAATCGGAAATGATAAATTTCCCCCTTTTACATACCGCACAAACCACGGCGGTTGCCTTCTTTATCGACCACTTGCTCCTCGAACGCGAGCTGCGTTCGTAATTTTTGACACCGTAAGTAACATTCGGACAGGAAATAATCCAGTCATACTATGTATACCTATGTATATTGGAAATGGAGACATTTGTTAGTGGTAGATTATTGGAAAGAAATTGTTTTGCTTCTCGTTTTCTCTCTTGTATATTAACGATGCTTTAATGGAATGGGAGTGTTCGTTAACCTCCGTAGTCGATATTTCTTTCCGTTTGGTTGGCGGCACTCAGCGAGCAATTACGCCGAGACAAACACGTCCAGTGGAATAGGTTATTGAATTTGTTTCTTGTGTACACGTGCCTATCTGTCCCTGTCGGAGTAACAATTAATTCTGTTTGTATTTTCATTACGTTACTGAGGCTAGAATGTGCTAATGCGATACAAGTGTCGCACTTGTAACTCATAAAAGGAAAATCATATGCAATAATTATTTGCGAATGTTTTAAAAGTATTGAAAATTGTATTTGTATACACTATATGATAGATAAGGTCTACAAATAAGTGAAGATACAAAAAGAATGATTAAATTACTACAAACCATATTTCCATTCTATCCCCCTCTGTTTTAATGTCGCCATATTGGAACTACGTATGTCAAAGATCTTGTTCAATTGTCACCGAATACGCCACTGTAAAGCATTCATTTGTTCACACTACATTAGCGAATTAAGAGGAGTATGATACACCCGTTTCATAAATAAATATAACTTAAATATATTTACATCGTTATATAAGCTAGGTATTACCTTGATGAAAAAACGAGGGAGATCATTCACGTTCTAACGTGATTCGTTCATAAAGATACACACACACACACATACAGGTTATCCCGTAGTTTGGACAGTAAACGTTCAAAAATACGAGCAGTATCCCTATAGTACACACATCTCTATAGTAGTAAGTAAGAAGAAGAATAAGTAGTGAGCCGTGAATAGAAGCTCGTCGGTGGATAGCCGACAAAAGGTGAGCCCACTTCGTGGGTCTGGCCGGTGTAGGTCCGCGGAAGGCGGGAGGCAGCCGGCCGACTCCGTTTCTCGAGTCGGAGAAGAGATATATCGGCGCTCGGGCGTACTCGGGCCGGTTCGTGCGTTCCCGCTGGCTGGTGGTGGCCGCGCACCTCCGCCAAGAGTTTCACGCTGCGTGGAACGAAACTCGTACGCGATCAGCTCGGCCGAGGCAATCCGGCATCCTTACGTATGCTCGCTCCGTTCTCACCCGCTTACGCCGCGTCGTCGTTTCGTTCACCCTCGTGAAATCACGTGAACCTCGTGAGCGTCGCAAATCCCGTTACGAAAACCTCGTGTCGTCGCGTACTATTGGGAGAGCGCCGGCTTCGATCCCCGGGACGGTTCGCGACCCCCCCTCGTGACCGTACGAACGAACGAACGAGCGAGCGAGGCGAGCATCGGTGGATTATTCTCGAGGCAGTGTACCGTAAAAAGTTCGCGGTGAACACGGTGAAAACGCGCGCGTACACACTGTGCTTCACGCTCCGTGACTCGTCGTCGTTGTAGAGGGAGGAACACCGAGAGAGAAGTTTCGAAGCGTGGTGACACATACTCTATACGCTTGTCTTCCTTGGAAATACTGTAGAGTGACAGGAGACGCGTCCCTCGAACGAGAGAGAAAGAAAGACAGAAAGAAAGAGGGACGGAGGAAGTGTTATCTCCGAGGTTGTTCGTGGAGACTCCGTTGGTAGGAGTCGTGCGAGCCGTACGAGCGACACTCGACGAATGAGGCGCGGAGGAAAGGGCCCCCGATAGGGCCAGGTAACGATCCAGCCAGAGGAAAATCGGAGTCGTAGGCGGGGCCTAAGGTCGGGGACACGTGACACGGAAACTGTCACGCCGCCCTTGTCCTCCCCTCCCCCCACTGACCCCCACCACACCACGCTCCAGTCGACTCGAGCCGAAAGCAGCGAGCGCCGCTTCTGCTAACCGACAGCGTGCTGCCGAACGCTTCTGTCTCAGAGAGTAGAGCTTCTCTATCGCTTTACGAAGCGGCTGTTTTTCTATCACTATGATGACAATGACGATGCTCCTGTAAAGGTTTATATTCGATGGAAGTTTACCAGTGATGCGTGATGACAGTTTTTAAGGATTTATGAAAATATTAAGCAATAAAAACAGTTCCATGAATGTGATAGGCGATATACTACCATATTCGTTGACTTTCGAAGGAAGGAATATGCTCATGTACTTTCACGATATTTTGCGGCATCCAATGGGCGATATCAGTGTCTAAAAACTAACCTATTCGAGGTATTGGCAGTTCTATTTCGTTTACCCCTTAGCGGTGTCATGTTACCCATTGATACATGTTCTTCGCGTCTGGAAGTTTATCAGTGACGCGTAAAGATTGTTTTTAAAACTCTTCCTGCTTTGAAATATTTCGTGTCCCGATTTAGACAATAATAGGACTCTTCTGGAATCGCGTTTCAATCTTTACGGGTGATGGTGCGCGATTACTGTTTTTAAAGATTTACGAGAAGAATAACCAGGCCGAATAATTATAAGAAAGTAATGTGGAATTATCCAATATTCGTTAAACGAAAATGACACCTTTTTCCAATAACGTTTTGTAAGGAAGATTGGTCGATAAAAGAACTATGGAAATATCTAACAGAAAATATCAATCGCAGAGCTACCGTACTTCACCACATCTGACAGGATTAATTCTCTAACCTCGAATAATGCGTCTGCGACTCTTCGATCACCATAGCACGTTTATATTCGTCACTTTACTCAAGATTAAGCCAAGATTCGACGTGATCGTGTCCAGCGTCTGACGCGAGTGGCCGCGTCGCCGGGGCGTCGCGCGTCAGCGTCCCGAGGATGCAACAGGGAAGCGTGGGTTGCGACGGGGACTCGGCCCCGTCGCCCAATCACGGTAGATCACCGAAAAACACAAATCCAACCGACACCGACAATCGTATCCGCGTGAAAGTTGAAGTGACCGAGTCAACGGACATTTTCGAAGTGAAGAGAGAACCGCAAGACGAGTATCACGCTGCTCAACACGATTTTCACTACGACAGAAAATCTATGATACCTTCGACGAAACTCGACGGGAACAACGATATCACGGCACAATGTCAAACGCAACATCAACCGTATCCACGTCCATTAGCCGCTGGACTTGCGAATTCTTACGGATTTCCACATTTTTACGGACCACCAGCACTCTTGCCACCGTCGTTTCCAAATGTTAGACCGTCGCCAGATAGATCGATTAACAAAATGGAGGAGCACGAACGTGAACATGAACGTTATAGAGTGCCTGTGACAGGTGTCGCCAGTGACAGTGTTTTTCTGCATCATGATCATACGCATAGGTTTGACGTTGGTGATTTTCACGGGAAGGGGTATCACGGGATGGCTTACAGTGGTTTTCGGCCAACGATGCAGCAACGTGCGCCGGTTTATGGACATCAGAACAATAGTGGCTACAGGGCTGCGCAGTATCAGAATAGGAAGCGCAAGTGGAGCGGCGCTGCGCTGCGTGGAATGCCGCCATCGATGCCTGTGAGTCCCTTTTACGATCGTTTCAGTCACAGAGGTATAATAGTACAGGTATAAAGGTTGTTAGGTTAGGTCACAAGTAATTTTCCGAATATTAGTATTTTTAAATAGAAAAGAGAATAGAATGTTGCGTAGAATTTTTGGTTAGTTTATTCGCTATTTGACAATAACAGTTGAACGTGGAAGTAATTATGAGCTCAAGAAAGTTTACATTTTAGTTGGAAATTTTAAGGACGAATAGAAAAAATTAGAGACATTTCAATTTTTATGAAATCAAGTTACTAGTTCAATGATATGTGTAATAAATATCTTTTGCATTCTGGTGCAACGATTGGGAGAAAGGTTATGTTAAGAAATAAATGTAAAATTTCAATCTGCATTTGTTTGTTGTATTTAATACATCAACTGGTTTATTTTTCAATCAGAGACGTTTTAAGGTTAGGTTTTATTAAACGAAGAAACACTTCGCATAGTGTATTAATAATAAAATAATCTGCCAGTCACCAAGTAAATAACTTACACAAGAAGAAATCAAATAGGTTAGGTTAGGTATATATTCATAGGTTAAGAGATTAGGAACAAAATATTCATTTCTAATTTCATAGGAGAATGAAGACATTACCCATCAATCAAGTATTGAAATTATACGAAACAACATGAAAAAAGGAGTTACGTTATAGGTCTTCCCAATCCTCGAGACTTTCAAGCGCGATCAGCTTTTACTCGAAGTGTAACTCGTTAATATCGACACGCAACCGAAGAATAATACCTTTTGTTCGTTGTACATACGCGGAAGCAACAGCAACGAGCGATTTTACTTGCAGATTATTTTTAATTGTATTCGGCGTTAATGATGTATTGAACGCCGCTTTCTTTTGTTCCCCGTTCTGGCGCACTGTAAACAAAAGCGCGTGCATTACATAAGAGAGCCATATTTAATCGAATCCAGCATAGTTCACTGGCATGCAGCCAACTTTCGTGCGTTTTATACTTAACCATAAAAAAGAAATACGAGAAAGAAACAAAATTGTTTCATATTCTTTAGCAAAACATTTCTTAATTCTCGCGTTGATTTGACAACATTACTTCAGAAGCATGCAGAAAATTTCATTACGTAACATGTATATGCAACGAAACACGCGTGCCATCTGTTGGCAACATTGTTCCGCAATTCTCCACCCTTAAGTCATGTTTTCAATATCTCTCCATTCTGACCCAATGACACAACTCGTCGCGACCCACTTTTCACTCTTGTTTCCTTCACACCTTCCAATTACACCTAAATAACGAAAAAAGAAAACAAATTAATATACCAGGCTAATGTATGCAGAGCCCGCGCGTACCAATTTGAATTAATCGAAGCGCGCGTTGCCGCGTAATTTGTAAAGTGACCGCTCACGGTTCGTGCTTGTTATACAAGGTGTTCTCAAGGTTTCGTTCTATAAAAAATAGTACTTTAGATAAATAACAGAGAATAAAATAAAGTTACTTTGAAAACAATTACCAAGCACAAAAGAAAAAGGTAAAAATAAGGTAAAAAGTAAAAAATTATGACTAAATTAGCTATAACCTCAAAACAAACGTTTTAAGGTTAGGACACTATTGCGCTGATAGCCTCAATTTATCTACCCACGCCCACGTGACATTTCCGCCTAATGTTCACGAGTAGAACAGAATATTTGACACCCTGTATAAGTATCGAACACGTAACGTGTTCCAGAAGTCGCCATGCTAATACGAGTCTATTTGAATTCACCGATATTAAAATAATTGTTTAGCAAACCGTTCCGCGTTGGTCAATGTTCGCCCAATGGTGGTCAGGCACGTTCTGACGCTACGAGTGGGCCCAGGGCATCATGGTCCACCGCTTCGTCGCAGCTCACAATACTCCCCCGAGGGAACAAACCGACACGCCACGTGTAATCACTGTAATTTCGGCCACGGACCGACGTAATTTTTTGGTGGAACGATTTCGCGAGCTTTCATTCGATTTCATTAATGTCCACGGGCATCCCTGTGGCGGTGTTCGCAGGTCGTGCGACGATAACGCGACGTGACCAACAATAGCTCCTCCGGTAAAAGTTACACGCTATTTTTCCTTGGCTCACTGTGTTATTCCTCGTGTCCCTAACCACTGTGATTTCAGGCAGGTTGAATTTTAGTGATGGTTTGAAAAAATTCTGGTGTGAGGTGTTCTTAAACTATTTTTTGTTCGAAGATATACACTATCAGTGTCGTATAATAGTATCAGATATATTTTTTTAAATTATTTAGATAAGGTTAGTACAAAATAAAAACATACACGTGTAAAAAATTAAAAAATTTCGAAACAAAGGGAAAACATTCAATTCTAAACTAACCTATTCACTTTAGAAAAGTTCAACAACAATCACACGATCTCTATTTACTCTGTACACGTACAAATTCATCGTCACCAACCAAACAACCGCCTTTTCCGTTACACCAACAAATCGCAGTCGACCGCTTCTAATATCGATAATCACAGAATCGCGCCAAATCGGGTCGAGGCGCGACCAAAATCAGCCAATGGGGCGCTTCCGCGCCAAAAGTGTCTGGAATGGCTCCAGCCCAGACTCCCTCTCTCATCTGCATACCGTTTCCTCTCTCTAACGACCGTTCATCTTCCGCGTCCGGCGGAACGCACGCACCTGTATCGAGATAACACGGCGTAACGTATACCCGCGGCGAATAAGGGCATTGAATCGAAGCCGGCTTTCCTCAGGCCCGCTCGCGGATAACCTCGGTTTGCTCTATAAATTTTGCGATGGGAAATTGCGCACCTGCGCCTCGACACCGCCGAATATCGATCTCGATACTCGACAGTATCGAACAGTTTCCATGAACGAATGAATCGTGTTGATCAGACGTGTGTAACTCGTATCTGCACAGAGATAATAGCAGCTGTACCTACTAATATAGGCTTGGTCTATGAACCACTACCGAGTGTCATCTGGCAAACGAGATACCACTGCGCATGCCTGTGCGCAGATTGCATATATATGTACGAACCAATCAGCGTCCGCGTGTAGCTTATTCCTTCTGTTTAGAACAGTGCGTTGTTTGTCGTTATTGGATCTAACTTTGCATGGAAATTATTAAAATAAAATCACTGTTTTTTAGGAATCCTGTCCAGTGGAATATCTTTCCGTTATTCGTTATTTGCCAGCGACAGAAATGCGTGTTAGTAAACATCGCGAGAACGTCTCGCGAATGAATTTCTGCGCGGTGTCGAATTTCAATAACAGAAAGAGAAAGGTCGATGTGTGCAACGAGGAAAGAGCATGTAGAAGTGTGAAACGAGTCGATAATCTGGTGAAAACAGATTGCAGACTAAAATGAAGAGAGGTTGAAAAAATATTAGGTGTCTCAAAAGCAAGTTGTCGAAATTGATCTACAAACACTCTCTGTAGACAGTCTCGTATTTATACTTGAATAACCTATATATAGTATTTATTTCCTACTTTACAAATGATCGGTTAGTTTTCTTTTTTACTCTCGAAGATGTGTTAGAGTTCAATATCGATGTATAATTGATGGATTGGAAGCGATGTAGGTAATGGACGTAAAGTGGCCATTTATGAGGCTTTCTAAATGGAACGCAGTTAAGATAATCAGGTGTAGCAATTTGTGTTTGTTAGTTCGTGAATGGAACTGTTCTTTAGCTACGTTATATGGTCGATAAATATGAGCTTCGAGTATTATACTACGATTTGATTCTCGTTACTTGCATGTATGTGTATTTAAACATTCTGAACTGGTTCTTGCATTTATTTGTTGGTTTTCGAAGTGTTCGAACGCGGAAGGCCGTTTTCGAACTGTGGTTAATTGGGAATTTAAACGATTATCTTCTTCTTGTAGAATAAAAGCAAATTATACCGAACCCAGAATTAATGTTGAACAATCAGCGTTTACGAAAGACTATAAAATTCTGCATTTTACAAATTCCGATTTTTTATAGGTTATTAAAAATTTCACTGCTTATTTTTTTTCGTAGAGAAAGAAACCAAAAAAATTCAAATTTGAGTTTTTCACCTAATTTCTGCTTTTTCGCGTGCAGTAACATGCAGAAGTGCCGGCTTGTTTGTATTTTCCACGAGGTTCGTTGAAAATTCCAGGCTAATTAGCAAACGCAGCTAATTTCTTCGCTAGCTAGCGCGCTGGCCACAACGTCGTTAATATTTAATTTTTGTTGAATGTTTTTCCTTTCCTGAAGTATAATATTGTGTAAGTACTATCTATGTATAGCAATATACACAGTCACAGATAACTTACATCTGTGAAAAAATTTCAAGACTGACGTTGAAAAGAAACGTGACAATTTTCTCATCCCTAATCAGTAAGAAAAATTCGAGGAATATCGATCACTGTTTCAGAATCTTCTTTTTCCCCTCTATCGAATACGTAATTTCGTATAATTTAAAAAAGTTCTTTTTTTAATATAAACATAACTATCGCGAAGCTTTCTATACGCGTCATGGACGAAAATCAAAGCAAAGTGTATAGAGGTTAGGTCGCCCTCTATGCGTACGCGTCTACGAAGCGACGCTTCGTGGACGTGCGGCCTTACGCAGGCATCTAAAGATTCGCAGCTGGGCGAGCAGCAACTTGTCAGTCTAGGCCCGCGCTCGTTCGCAATGGAAAAGGTTAAAGGCTGCCGGAGATGAGTTATACAGTCAATTGGAATCGATCACGAGTCGCCGTGCATTACCGTTCTTCCCTATCGATCCCGTTACGGGGCACGGGACGCCCACTTAATAATTTCGTTACGGCCCGGGAACCGGTGTTACATTCAATCTCAACTATTGTGCCGTCAATAAGCAGAGAGAGGATTACGGAAGTATGTACGCGAGCAAATTTTTATTCGTTCACTACCTAGTCATGAAAATGACACGTTAAAAAGGAAGCAATTGCCTTACCGTCGAGTTGTCGTGACATTTCTGAGAGAGAGAAAAATTTCCTCTCATACATATACGCATTGTACG